CAGGGAGGGCAGCCAGGTAGCAGATGGCCCTGAGTCGGGAAAGAGGCAGGACTGGGCTGTGCTGGAGGTGAGCCAGGTGTGACCAACACGCCCACGCCAGCCAGGCAGCATTCCGGGCACTGGGTCAAATAAGCGGCCTGCAGCAGGGTGACAGTGTGTCATTGTCCACGTGGCTTCCAAAGGCCTTCGTGTCAGCTGGATTGAGGGGGCCCTGTTAAGGCAGGCTGACTTCGGACCCGGCCTCCAGCAGCTGCAGAGGTCTGGCCTCGCCCTGCGCCAGCATCAGCCCCGCAGACCAGGCGCTGGGGGCCCGGCTCCCACGGCCACGGCCACGGCCACGGCCCCCCGCGCGGTCTGCAGGGCAGCTCGCTCTGACGGTCGGTGCATTCCCTCACTCATTCGCGTGGAGTTTGTGCCTTGACATATCCAGGCACACCCCGGTGCCAGGAAGTGCCCTCTCCCTGCCCTCAGGTTGTCTGCAGTCTGCCACGAGGACACACACACACACACACACACACACACACACACACACCGTGGTTGGAGCTTTGACCAGGGTAGCGCAGGGGCTGGGGTGCACAGGGGAGCGTGTGTCCCTCCTGCAGGGGCGTGGGGAGGTTGTGCCCACAGCAGGGAAGACTTCTTGAAGGAAGTGTCCTTTGAGCTGGATTTTGAGGGAGCAGGAAGAGTTGGGCCGTGGAGGTGAGGAAGGGCCTGCCACCCTCCACACGACACTGCCCCACCAGCTCCCCACCGGCCGCCAGTGGCCTTCCTCCCCCAGCATGGCTTTTTTTTTTTTTTTTTGGAGACAGAGTCTCACTCTGTTGCCTGGTCTAGAGTGCCAGGCCGTGGAGTCAGCCTAGCTCACAGCAACCTCAAACTCCTGGGCTCAAGCGATCCTCCTGCCTCAGCCTCCCGAGTAGCTGGGACTACAGGCACGCACCACCATGCCCGGCTAATTTTTTCTATAGATTTTTAGTTGGTCAATTAATTTCTTTCTATTTTAGTAGACACGGGGTCTCGCTCTTGCTCAGGCTGGTTTCGAACTCTTGACCTTGAGTGACCCTCCTGCCTCAGCCTCCCAGAGTGCTAGGATTACAGGCGAGAGCCACCGCGCCCGCCCCCCCACCACGCACGGCTTTGACAATATAGCGATGGCATTTTTTTTTGAAATATGCATGTCTATTTTATTTCCATTAGAAAAATATTAGTTATATAAAATTTTGGTCCACTTCCTTCTCCTAGACTTCTACCATTCAAATTTAAATACTTTTATTTTACTCAACTAAAAGAATCATAGATCTGACATGAGAACTAAATATTCCACATCATTAGTTTGATTAGGTGTGCTTTTGATTATTTCTCAGAAACAATAACTCATCTTTCCTACCTGTTATTTCCCTTTATTTATTTGAGTAACTATGTAATGAGTATCTCTTTCCTACATTCAGCCATATGGATATACATTAAGTGTAATTTACACACCAGCAGCTGGATGCAGTATCTAATCTTCATTCATGTTCACCTACCCCTGTTATATCCTATTTCCATGATAACTTCAGATATTTTAGTCAAGCTCATGCTTCTATCAATTATAAAAATTAAGAGGTTATTATATCAACTATAAAAATTAAGATGTTAAAAATTCCAGACTAAACACTGGGCCCACTTATAGTAATGGCGTTGCAAAAAGCTGTCCATGGTGTTGGACAGCTACTGCTTCAATTTCAATTCTGCCTCCTTTGGGCAAAGCAGCAACCTGGTAAGCAGCTCTTGCAGGAAAATTATTCTTTTTTTTTTTTTTTTTTTTTTGAGACAGAGTCTCACTCTGTTGCCCAGGCTAGAGTGAGTGTTGTGGCATCAGCCTAGCTCACAGCAACCTCAGACTCCTGGGCTCAAGCGATCCTCCTGCCTCAGCCTCCCAAGTAGCTGGGACTACAGGCATGCACCACCATGCCCGGCTAATTTTTTCTATATATATTAGTTGTCCAATTAATTTCTTTCTATTTATAGTAGAGACGGGGTCTCACCCTTCTCAGGCTGGTTTCGAACTCCTGACCTTGAGTGATCCACCCGCCTCGGCCTCCCAGAGTGCTAGGATTACAGGCGTGAGCGCCCGGCCGGAAAATTATTCTTGAAATACTGTTTGTAGATGTCATTGACAGTATTGAAGTCATTTATGTCAGCCAGCAAAACAGTTGTTTTTACCACATTAGTGAAGTCACAGCCTGCAGCTTTCAGAATTTCACCCATGTTTTTAAGAGCTTGTTTAGCTTCTTCTTCTACTCCTCCTGGCACAAGCTATCCACTTGACCGGTCCATGCCTGTCTGTCCTGAAATGTAAATGGTCCTGTCGACTAATACAGCTTGACCGTAGGGGCCAATGGCCCCCGGGGCTTTGGCAGTGCCGATCACTCTTCTGATCAGGGACGGCATAGCTAGTCCTCCCCTCTTTCAGCCCCTGGGGAGAACAAGCCACGACTGCAAACCCGCTGCAGTCTCAGCTGACTGACTCAGTGATGGCATTTTTAAAAGAAAACACAGAGGATTGGATGGTGGGGTTGTAGCACTCAGGCCCTGGGATCAGAAAGACCTGGGTTTGAGCCTAAATTCAGCCACTCACTGGCTGCAGCTTGTGTCTTCGTCTCTGTGCGGAGCGGGTGCTGCTCTGGCTAGGGTGAGACGGGGCGGCCCCGGCGCCCGGCTTGCTCGGCTCTCCCGGGGTGAGATGGCCCAGGCGAGGCGGGCGCTCACTGTTGGGATGAGGGAGGAGAGGAGGCTCCCGCCCTCCCAGAGAACCTTTCTCCCCCACCGTCTCCTGACTGCTCCGCACGCCCCTGCTGCCAGGGGGTGAGGAAGAACGAATGGCCGCTGTCTGCAGAGCTGGGGACAATGACCTCCTGTCGTGGTCACTCACTGTTTCTTCCTCCTGGAGTCCATTCCCCCTTTTTTGGCAAAGGTCCCTTCCCCGTTCCCAGTTCACGGGGCTCAGGGTGGACGGGCTTCCCGCCCCAGCCCCACTCCAGGACTGGCCTGTCAGAGAGCACAGCCCCCAGGCGAGGTGACCTGTCCAGGGATAAGTACAGGACCAAGCTGGCCATGCAACCTTTGGCTGGAACCCCGAGGCGAGGGGACTTCTCTCCCCACTGGGGTTGCCCGATTGGTGGGACACCAGCCTGGAGCTGTTGGCCACCGTCTCACCACCACGGGGCAGAGGCTGCCAAGGGAGGAAGTTGGGCCAGACGGACTTTTGCAACACTGGGTGCCTCCGCCGTTGCCAGCCTGCCAGTGCTCGGGCGAGCCAGGCCTAGTGATGGGATTCGGAGGCCTGAGTTCAGGCCAGCCGGTCACTGATTTGCCATGTGAGCCAGGGCCACGCACTGCCCTACTCCAAGCTTCTGTCAACAGCAGGACCTGACACCTGCCCCATGGAGTACAAGGGCTGGCAAGGCCCGGGTGAGACGACGAGGTGGACGGGAGGAGCCATGCAGCCATTGCTAGAACCTCATGCAATGGGATCGAAGGGTGCACTCTTCCGCTTGCCTGCCCTCACTCCGAGGTGTGTGAGGCTCCTGCACTTTGTCGTGTGTGTTGGCACCGACTCTTCTTCGTGGCTGCATAGTATTCCATGGTCCCAGCACACCTTGATGTCTCTGCAGTCCATTTCTCATGGACACTGGGCTGTTTCTTGTTAGGGGCTATCGTGAATAGTGATAGTAGGGGCCAGGCGCAGTGGCACATGCCTGTAATCCTAGCTGAAGTGAGAGGATCACTTGAGGTCAGGGGTTTGACACCAGCCTGAGCAAGAGCAAGACCCCATCTCTACTAAAAATAGAAAGAAATTAATTGGCCAAATAAAAATATATAGAAAAATTAGCTGGGCATGGTGGCGCATACCTGTAGTCCCAGCTACTTGGGAGGCTGAGGCGGGAGGATTGCTTGAGCTCAGGAGTTCGAGACCAGCCTGAGCAAGAGCGAGACCCTGTCTCTACTACAAATAGAAAGAAATTAGCCAAACAACTAAAAATAGAAAAAATTAGCCGGCGTGGTGGCGAGTGCCCATAGTCCCAGCTACTTGGGAAGCCGAGGAGGGAGAATTGCTTGAGCCCAGGAGTTTGAGGTTGCTGTGAGCTAGGCTCACGCCATGGCACTCCAGCCCAGGCAACAGAGCGAGGCTCTGTCTCAAAATAAATAAATAAATGATAATGATGCTAGGCATTTGCACACATGGCTTTTAGTGGACGTAAGCATTCATTTCTATCAGGTACATATGCAGGAGTGGAATTGCTGGTTCACAAGACATGGTATGTTCACAATCCAGTTGTTTCTCCACACTCTGTTGTGTGAAGTTCAAACCCACAGAGAATTTGAAAGAATTGGACGCCATGTACTCCCCCCCTGGAATCTACAGTTAGCATTCTACTATAACTGCCTTGTCGTGACCCTATCCATGTCCCCATTCCTGTATCTCTCCATTAGTTCATCTGCTTTTATTGATGCAACAATATAATTTTAAGCAAAAAAAAGGCAGGATACAAAATTATCCAAAAACCGTAGACCCAGAGAGACTGGGAGGAAGCGGAGCAGACTCCCAGTGGCCACGCTGCTGTCTGGCTGGTAGGATTTCTCCTTTGGCTTTTTCGTATTTCCCAGATTTTCTGCAGTGAATTTCTTTTAATATTTTTAATGAATAAAAAAACATTTTAGGGACTGGGTACAATGGCTCACACCTGTAATCCCAGCACTTTGGGAGGCCAAGGTGGGGAGATTGCTTGAGCCCAGGAGTTCGAGACCAGCCTGGGCATCAGAGAGACACCCTGTCTCTACAAAAAAATACACAAAATAATAGCCAGGCATGGTGGCACATGCCTGTGGGCCCAGCGACCCAGGATGCTGAGGCAGGAGGATTCCTTGAGTCTAGGAGTTGGAGGCTGCAGGGAGGTGTGAGCTACGATCGCAACACTGCACTCCAGTCTGGGTGACAGAGTGAGACCCCCATCTCTTAAAAAAAAAAAAAAAAGATAGATAGAAATGAAAAAACATTTTAGGGCCGGGCACAGTGGTTCATGCCTACAATCCAAGCTTGAACTCCTAATCCAGATTAGGAGTTCAAGACTAGCCTGGGCAGCATAGTGGAACCCTGTCTCCAAAAAATAAATTAATTTTAAAAAATCATTTTAAATTAAAAAGGAGCTTTGTCTTTTATAAGATTGGAATTTCTTTTTAGGGGGGAAGTGAGGCAATGGAGAGAGGAATGAGGGAGGGGAGAAGGTTGGGAGAGCCGCACCTCCTTCAGATTGGAAGCCCAGGGAAGGATGAGGTGCCAGGTGGAGAACAGAGAGGGGCGGAGGCTGGGGAAGACCGTGTGCTCTGGGGGAGGCCCGGGCCTGCCTCTTCAGAGACAGTGTTCTGGTTACCAGCACCTTCCAGGGGCACAGCGGTCCCCAAACTTTTCAGCACTAGGGACCAGTTTCATGGAAGGCAATGTTTCCAGGGATGGGGGTGAGGGGGCCTTAGAGCTCTGTGGCCGGGTCCCTAACGGGCCATGGGCTGGTACCGGTCGAGGCCTGGGGGTTGGGGACCACAGCAGGGCAGAAAGAAATCCTGCCCAAGCCAATGCAGCCCCAGGAGCGATTCAGTCAGTTGGCACCTCTGGGTCCAGCGGGGGCTTGCAGAACGTGGCGACAGGCGTCTAGTTCTGGAAACTTGCTCCCTGGAAGGAGAAAAGGCAGGAGTGACTGAAGGACGTAGAACCTTGGCAAACTGCCCCAAAGCCTCCTCGCGTGAGATGTGTGAGCACAGGGCTTGGAGGGCTCCACTCCAAACCAAGACAAGTTGGTCTACGAAGGGGGAAATCTCATCACAAGTGGCATTTAAGATGACACAGGGACAAGGTGATGGAGGAAGAGTCAAAGATAAGAGACAAGGGTACTGTGTCATGCCTACATGCTTATTTCATGAATATACAAATGGCTAATAAGCACAACAGGATGGCTATTATTAAAAAGAAAACAGAAAACCGAAAAATAGGGGGCTGGGTATGGTGGCTCACACCTGTAATCCCAGCACCTTCAGAGGCCAAGACAGGAGGATCACTTAAGACCAGGAGTTTGAGACCAGCCCGGAAAACATAGTGAGATCTCATCTCAATAAAAAATTTGTAAGATATTAGCTGGCTGTGGCGGTGTACACTTGTAGTCCCAGATACTCGGGAGGCTGAGGCAGGAGGATCAGGAGCCCAGGCGTTCGAGGCTGCAGTGAGCTATGATCGTGCCACTGCATTCCAGCCTAGGTGACATAGTGAGACTCTCTCTCAAAAAGAAAGAAAGGGAGAACAAGAAAGTAAGTGTTGGTGAGAAATTGGAACCCTTGTGCATTACTGCAAAAATGATTCCACCACATGGAAAACAATATGGTGGTGTTTCCTCAAAAAATTACACATCAAATTACCATGTAATCCAGCAATTCCACTTCTGGGCATATACCCAGAAAAAATGAAAGCAAGGACTCGAGTAGATATTTGCACACACATATGTTCATAGCAGCATTATTCACTGCAGCCAAAAGGTGGAAGCAACCCAAGTGTCCATCACCAGAATGAATGGATAGACAAAATACAGTATTATTCAGCCTCAGAAAGGAGGGAAATTCTGAAATGTGCTACAACATGAACAGTGCGATAAACCAGACACAAAAGAACAAATGCCGTGTGACCACTTATGTGAGGTCCCTAGAGTAGTCAAATCGTATTGGCAGTTACTCATCTTTGAATAGAGATGAAATAGAGCCTGTGGTGTTCAGCGGCTGAGATTTGGGGGCTATTTGTTACAGCAGTTGGTCTGTACACATCACTCCCTTCTTCCACTGCATTTCCCTGGCAAACCTCAACCCTAGACTGGCTTCTTTTGAGACAGTCTTGCCCCATCACCTTGAGTCAAGCTCTGTTTCTGGCGTACACAAAATCCTTGCAGATATCCTGGTCAGGCATCTCTCCTCCACGTGGTAACGCAGAGATCCAGCTCCCTCTTTCTGATGCTGTTGTCTTCATCATGCAGCTTCCTAGGTCAGCATGGAAGGGGAAGAGAAAGTGGGGATGGCGTACTGATAAGGAAAACCCCCGTCTATTACTTGGCAGCCATCAGACCTGAGACCTGAGACCCCCACCCCTCACAGAAGACCTGCATCAGCATAATACTAACCTATTACTTGGCCCAGCAACTAATCTCTTACCTGGTGCATCAGCATGACACTAAACCTATTACCTGGCCTATCAACTAACCTATTACCTGGCGTATTAGCATAACACTGAACCTATTGCCTGGCGCAGCAACTACCCTATTACCTGGTGCATCAACATAACACTAACCTATTACCTGGAGGGCATTAGTCACCTGATACCCTACCCCTTGGACCACCCCAACTTAATAAGCGTGGGAAAAATCGGGTAGACGGGGCTCAGAATTTGGTGGCGAGACCCCTCTGAGCCCACTGGCAAATAAACTTTGATTCTCCAACTCCTTGCGAGCCGCTGGCTTGTCCTCGGGACCACCCGCTGTAACACTTGCTATAACGATACCAGCTATTTAGCCTCCCTGGCCCTGAAGGCACATGTATTACTATTATTAGTAGTAATGATTATTAGTAATTATTATGAGGAGTAGTAATACATTATTATTATTAGTGTTAGCCTATTAGACAGTGGGCAGGTGGCCATGTGGTGATTCAGGGACCCAGGCTTCTTGGGACTAGTAATTCTGCCCAGACTTCTTCCCGGTCGTTTGCCGCTAGGTAGACACCGGGGAGGAGAGAGGCAGAGAGGGTCTCCAGGAGGGAGGAGTGACCTACATAAGGAGTCACATGGTCCTAGACCACTAGAAGGGGGTGGGGAGCTGGGAAACATGTTCTCTTGGTGTGCCCAGGAAGGAGAACAGTGGGGGTACTCACGGAGTCTGGGGGGGCCGTGTTCATGAGGGGACGGAATCTATACTGGGCATGGGGAAAAGGCGGGAGGGGACAAGTGGGGAGGCCAGTGAGTGGAGAGTGAGGGGGGTTGGAAACTGTAGCCAGGGGCGGTCCTGGAGGAGAGTCCTAAGCAAATGTAGGAGCTGGTGGACCTGAAGGGATGTGAAGCCAGGGGTCAGTAGCCTCAGGGAAGAAGAGGGCCTGGATTGGAGTGTCAAGGTAACAGAGGTGAGTCATGCAGGCAGAATGTTGAGGTTACAGAGACTGATGAGAGGAGCCTGGAGCAGGATGGGTTTCATCTTTTACCACTCGGGCTAGGATGTGTTTCTTGCAACACTGTGTTTCATGCGCTTCGCTCATTTGATCCTTTAACAATCAAATGCAGTAGATACTAATATGGTCCCCATTTTACAAGCCAGGAAGAGAGGCACAGAGACGATAAGCACCTGCCCGGGGCAGCCAGCCAGCAATGGTGCTGGGACTGGAGCCAGGCAGCAGGGCCCTTAGGCTACCTCTGGAATCTTCCGTCCACTCGCCCATGAGTCACTCACTCATTTACACATTCCCTGAGCTCTGTGCAGGCTGTGAAGTCGGAAGAGGGGCTGAGAGGCCAGCAGATGCAGGCCGACAGGGCAGGACACGGTGGGGGCTCACAGCATGAGCCCCAGGGCGCAGGGACTCTGGGACGACTGGCAGGGGTCCCCGCAGGCCCGGAGGCCTGTCTTGTTGGGGAGGATCTGCCAGATCTGCCTTCACCGGATTAATCCTGCCTGACGTGGGGGCTGGGAGCCCGGCTAGCCGGTCAGCCCAGGAACCTTCTCCTGGTCTCAAGCTGCTGGAGGTCAAGGGTCTCCCTCCCCGTCCACCTGGCGCCTGGGGCGGCTTATTGTCGTTAGCATCGCAGGTACAAATTCTAATTGCAAAAGCAGCTCCATCGAGTTAGGGCGAAGGAGAAACGTAAAACCGTTAGCCCCGCCCCCAACGCGAACGCTTGGGGGCGACTCCCCGCCAGGTCCCAAAGGGTTGGGGGGACTTGCAGGGCAGGGCGGCCCCGCAGCTGGCCACGGGACGGCCGCGCCGCGGAGGGACGCGGGGGGCCCGGGACCCCTCCCCCCAGGCCCGCCGCGCCACCCCCCTCCCCCTCCCCGCGCCCCCTCCTTCCGGGCCGCGCTGGCTCCCGCGCGGGGGCAGGGGACGGAGGAATCCTGTCCGGCCGGTTTCCTGCCCTGCTGGGCAGCCGCTGGCCTTGGAATTCGGCCTGGCGGTGACGCTGGGGGAGGAGGGTCGGGCCTTGGCTTCCTCGGCCCGGCGGATGTTCCAAGGTCGCCCCCACCCGCCGCCGCTCAGCCCCCTCTGCCGGGTGATGGCGAGGGTGCTCAGACACTCGGGACCCGCCAAGGTCACGCGGAGGGGCTGCCGAGGGGCCCACGGACCTCTGGTGGCGTCTACAGGCCGGCGTGGGAATGCGGGCTGCCACCTCCCCTGCTTCCTTGTCAGATACCGAGAGGGGGTGAGGACAGCACTTGGGCCCCTCGGAGGCCTCTTGGCATCCAGGCCGGGGACGGCAGGTGCCTCTGGGAGGGGAGGCATGCCAGCCAGACCCTGGGCTGGGAGAATAGAGAATGGAGCAGCCCCTGCCCGTGCCCTGGGCCTCAGCTTACCCACCTGTACGAGCGGTCGTCTGCAGAAGGGAGGGCCCTCGCAAGGCCAAGCAAAGTCCAGCCTGCAGGCGCGGGGCCCGCCGAGCAGATGGGGGCCCAGTGCAGTGGGCAGACCTGAACGTGTGCAGTGCCTGAACGCAGGTCCCCACTGCCGCTCGGCCCGTCACAACTGGGATCTCTCTGCAAATTGCATTTATTGTGTCTCAAAAGTAACGCAAGCTTAGAGCGCAAAACCACAAGGCAGGTTTTCCACCAGCTTTGGAAAATAAGTTTAGATGGCCTGACTTGTAACACATGCTATGAGGACACAGGAAATGCACTCTGGGGGCCCAAGGGAGCACCTCCAGTGGAGGACAGTCATCCGGTCGATGCCCAGGGTCTACTACAGGGGCTCCAGCAGGGCCGCAGATTGGGATTTTTGACGTCACCTCTAAATATGGATAATCAGATGACCACAGAGATACAGTGTCAGGCTTGGAAGATGTTCCTTACGCCACACCACTTAAAGTGCTCTATAAACCACTATTATTATTTTTAATTAATTCCTCTATTAGCTTGAGAATAGCAAAATTCTTTTTCCTTTTTCCTTTTTTTTTTTTTTTGAGAGAGTCTCGCTTTGTTGCCCAGGCTAGAGTGAGTGCCGTGGTGTCAGCCTCGCTCACAGCAACCTCAAACTCCTGGGCTCAAGCGATCCTTCTGCCTCAGCCTCCCGAGTAGCTGGGACTACAGGCATGCGCCACCATGCCCGGCTAATTTTTTCTATATATATTAGTTGGCTAATTAATTTATTTCTATTTTATAGTAGAGACGGGGTCTCGCTCTTGCTCAGGCTGGTTTCAAACTCCTGACCTCAAGCAATCCACCCGCCTCCGCCTCCCAGAGTGCTAGGATTACAGGCGTGAGCCACCGCGCCCAGCCAGAAAAATTATCTTGAATGGGACTTCTGCACATGTGTTAAAAGCATTGGTCTGTTTAATTTAAGTGTTTCAAATATACCCCAGTTTTGGTAACCTTGTTGAGATATTTAATTTTGAAAGTGCCAGGAGCCTCAAAGAATGGAGAAGGCTCCGGGCCCTGGTAGAATTTCTGCATGCTGCCGGAGCTCCTTCAGGGTTTGCCTCCCTGCTGGCACTTGGGATGAATTGCCTCAGGGCCACCCTTAGGGGTAGTGGCTGCCCTATGCCAGCCTCCGAGCAAGTAACTAACAGTAAGTGGAAGAGCATAGACACCCTCATGGGGCCCGGGCTCTGTGCCTGGCCCTTTCCCTGCTGCTTTCAGTGAATCTCCCCGACAACTCTGTAGGGTAGGACCAATGATCTCCATTTGGTGATGAAGAAAGTTTGGCTTAGGGCAGTAGATGCTTTGTCTACGGCAGCACAGTGGATGGCAGCGTGACTTCCAAAGACAATTTGGGATCCCTGCAAATGGCGTGGGGTAGTACCTGCCCCATCCATGGGACACACGGGCGTTCTAATCACCTGCTCCCTCTGGGCCCCAGGCCCCAGCTGTGGGTACTGAGCTGACCACACTCAGGCTCAGACACCTCTAGGAAATTGCTGGGCCTGCCCACTCCCTTGGTGGCAGAGCTTCCTGGGCTGGGGCTAAACCTGGCCACTCAGTGAAGGCCCAGCTCCCTCCGTGTCACTCTGCTAGCTGGGGCTGTAACCCAATCTTGAGCAGGTAGGGTTTCAGTCCAGTGGCCTCTCTGTGCACTCATCAATATTTTAAGGCTCAGAACTGGAGCGCCTGGTCCTGGGTGCAGCCTGGGAGGGGTGGTGAGCACAGCCCCCCCAGGCTCTGCTTCTCCAGCCCTTGAGGGAACCCCCACTGTGTCAAGTGTCTAGTGCTTTCTTGGGCCAGAGGTGCTTTTGGTGCAGAAAGACATTAAGGACAAAGCCCCGCTGGATGGGGTCCTGGGTGGGGTCCCCAGTTCCTACAGGCCTTGGACAAGTGGTTTCACCCTCCGGCGAAGCTCCCTTCTTGCCTGGGAGGGGGTGTTGATGATGCTCACCTCACTGCTGGCTGGAAAACCTCAAAGATGCTGGATGCGGGTACAGGGCTCGGAGCTTGTTCATATCAGGTGCTTGACAATGAGTCCCTCCATTTTGGGGAGGCCACCTCACAAAGCCCTTTCTTGGAATAGGCCTTGTAGCTGGAGTCGGTGGTACTGGGGCCCATGGGTGGACCCTGCCGAGCTCTGGGGAGTGCCCTGGTCTGCCCAGCGAGCCTGGGAACTCCTTCTTCTGGCCCCTTGGGACATTGAGTGGAGAGGGACTTCCCCAATCTCCTTCCATCCCGTTACCCACATTCTGAGTCTACTCTCAGAATTCCGTATTGATCACAGAGCTTTCGGACAATTTTCTCTTTTGTCCCAGAAGAAAAGACTCTTTGGTGTAACAACCTCTCCCCAGGACCAGTGCCTGCCGTAGCAGATTTCTCTGCAAGCTGTGCCACTTGTGCACGTACTGACATTTTGGTGATCAGAGTGTACATTGCAGCCTTTCCAAGCCCTGCTCAAACGCCCCGTCAGGGAGGCTCCCCCCACTTCTGTGGACAGAACTGTCGAGTATCCTTTCCCTACAAAACCTATTACTTTAGCATTACTATGTGACAAGCACCGTGTCTGCCCCGGCAGTTTTGGGATTGCCTGGGCAGGGGGGCCTGGACACCAGGTAAGAAAGGGTCCTGCCTCGGCCCTCACCTCAGCCAAGGGGCTTCAGTTGTCACCCAGGCCCTGCAGATCTGTCTCCATGACTATCAGATAGAAGCGATAACAGATATAATTGTCCTACCTTTCATAGGGACTGTGGGTATTTAGGGAGCAAACGTGTAATATATATAGCTGATATTTCCTACATGCTAGGTATCACGTGAAACACTTTTAATGCTGTATCTCATTAATCCTCACAATCCACCCCCTAACAGGTGGGCTGTCAGGCCCATTTTACAAAGAAAGTGAGACTCAGAGGAGACAAGCGGCTTGCTTGAAGGCATACACTGAGGAAGTGGTGGAGGCAGGATTTGAACCCACTCTGCTGGACTCCAAAGCTGCTGCTCTCTCCCACTGTGCAATGCAGGCTCCCCAGAGGTGAGGTGTCTGCAGGTGTGCTTGTGACATGAATAAAGAACTTGAGACACACAAGACCATCTTCAAAGTGGGCGCTTGCACATGGCACTCCCGGTGGGGGCTGTCATCCTTCAGCTGCAGCCAAGGTCAGATTGTGGTGGTGGAGGGGGACTATGTGACCAGCTGCAAGCCTGTGTGGGGGACATGTAACACTAGGCAGGAAGGCCCCAGACACCTCTCACCTGAGTTGGACCATGGGCTAGGAGTCCTTGGCTCCGGTCATTTAAGGGCCATGTGTGTTATTTGTATTAATAGGGATGTGTACAGATGTGTTATACACTCACATGTGTATCCCAGGAGCTGCACCTGACTTCAGAATTCCTGCCACAGCCACCCCTTTGAAGGCATCTGCCCTGTCTTCCGCCCCTACTGCTCAGGTCACCATGTCTGGTAGCAGCAACGTGGTTATAGCTGACCGGGCCAGGCCTGGGCCCCTGACTCAACAGTGCCAATTCATGGGCTGGCCACTGCCTCATGACAGGGCTTTCCAAGACAAGCTGGACCAGTAAAATTCCCGTTCTTGGAGAGTGACTAGGAAGCTCTGAGTGACTAAGCCAGGTGGTGGAGGCTGCAGGGTCAAAGGGACTCTCGGGATGGCACTGGGGCAAACTCTGTTGCCTAGCGCCTGAGTCCAGCCCCGGGCTCTACCATTCACTAGCTCTGTGTGTGGTCTGTTAGCAGCTCCAAGACTCAGTTTCCTGATCTGTTAAATGGAGATAAAAGAATGGAGCTCAGGAGTTGTTGTGAGGATTCCGTGAGGTCTGCGACATCACTGGTAGGGCAGGAGCTTTAGCTAATATCCCTGTTTATGTAGACTCCCTGGTGGGCCCAGGCAGAGTGGCCTGTAAGTGGGCTAAGGCTGAGGAGAAGCTGTCAGGAGAGAAGGCTTTGGTGAAAGAGGGGAAGCTCCTCCGAGACAGGAGTGATGTCCCCCAAGTCACATCCTTAGAATCCAACCTGCATTCTGAGACACCTGCCTTCTCTGCATACTCAAACCATCTTGTTGAAACAACTCAACTCCACTTTGTTCACCTGGTGTTTCCTCAAATGCTCCAAAGTCGTCCTTCAAGAACATGTGAGCAGAACTGTGACTGTTGAAAGAAAAAGTGAGACCGAGGCAGGAAACTGCCTCTCCCACCACGTTTCCAGCTCCTCAAAGGCCAGGGCGATGGTTAGCCTCTAGAATGAATGACACTGACTTCCCCCAAGTTAGAATGCAGGACTCAGGGTCCCTAGAAGAGAAATCAAAGCTTGGAGCAGCACCATTTTGTGCTTAAAATCTCTGTCCTTGCATACCCCAACTCCGTAAGCAGTCCCAGAGCATAGCTACATATCCCACATTCCACTTTTCTTTCAAGGTTTGGGCCCCAGAAACTTTCCCAACATCTTTAACGAGTCAACATCTTAATCCCACAGGGAAATTTGGGCCGGTAAAGATGCCCTTGGGTTTTCACATTCCAACCCAGCAGATGCCAGAAAGAGTTATTTCAAATTGTAAAGGCCCCCTCCTTACTTGTAGTGCTCCTTCTTCCTGGCCAGATTTCTGACATTCCTCTGAGATTACCAGACTGGTGCCAGGGGACAGTGGGACAAAGGGCCTCTCACCCGGGCAGGCCATTGACAAGGTCTACCTCGCTGCGGTCGGGTATTTTTAGACAAAGTTCTTGGCTCCGTCATCGAAATGGCTTCCCAGATTGCAGCCCTTGATTGCCGAGCCCTTCCAACATGCAGTGGGACTCCCACCTCGCTCGCTCCGGCCTAGAGGCCTAGGCCTCTCCCAGCTCCCCAGGCCAGTCTCCCCAGCAGCCTTTTCATTTTTATCCTTTGTTAATAAGGTAATTTTTCTTGGAGCAAGTTCAGCCAAGTACACACTCTTTTTTTACAGAGACTTTTGCTGCTGGTGGACTGTGACATTCCTGCACAGCAGCCATTTCCTGTGCGCCAGGAACTGGATTTCCTAAGCCCTTGGCAGCTGGGGAAACCTCTTGTCCCAGCTCTTGTCCCATAAAAGAGAATTTTTAATTTTTATATTTATCTGTACCCCACTTGCTTCCAGGAAGGACTGAGGCGGCGGGGCCGGGGAGGAGCTGGGTCAGTGTGTGGCAAACCAGAGCAGGGCCCCTTGGCCCCCGGCCCCGGGCAAAGGTGCATTAGTCATGGTCACGCGGCCGTCTCCTGGGGCTGGGGGAGATGACAGTGTCCACAAAGCCAGCAGCACGGTGGCAGGCACCTTTGGCCGGTGATCTGGGCGGCTGCGGAGGCCCCGCTACGGGGGTGGCCCGCCCGCGTCGTCCCTGCGCCTCCCGCCCTAAGCCTCTAGGTCCCGGCGCCCTCAGCACCACGGACAGGGAAACTGAGGCTGCAGTGGGCGTGAGTGGGGCCGGGCCGCAGCAGGCGGCTGTGCAGTCGTCTTGAACCAGTCTCCTCTTTCCCCTTTCGGGCTTCGGTTTCTGAGCCGGGGATAACGATTCCTCGGGCTCGGGTTGCACAGGGCGTAAGGCGCCTCGCGCGGTGCAGAGCCGACGCCGGTGAACGTACAAAAACACGCCCACGGGCTCCGGGCGCCGCGCCCCAAGGTCAGGGAAACAGAGCCGGCCTCCGGAGCCAGCTTCCTGCCCGCCCCTGCCGGGCCCCCGGCTCCGGCGTCTCGGGCTTCCGAGGGCTCCACAAGAGAGATTTTCGCCACGCGCCTCCCATTGCTGCGGGCCGCCCCGCCCGGGCGCTGCGCCTGGGGCGGGCGGCGCGGAGGCTGCGCCCTGCCGCGGACGGAGGCAGGGACGGGGCTGGGGCGCCGGGGAGCTGCGGGCGGCCAGACCAGGCTGGGCCGACTGAGGCGGGTCGTGCGCGAGAGGCCGCGGGGTGGCTTTGGGAGCGGGGACGTTCGGTG